CTTCCGGTCCTCCTGTGAACAGCCACCAAACTGGGACATTTTCCAATCAGACCAGGATCGGGAGCAGGAATGAGGGAAGCCTCCCCCAGAGACGGCACTGCATCAAAGGAGACTCGCCCCTGTGGGCCGGGAGAGAAGTCTGCAGGAGCCGTGAAAAGTTAAAACCAGGCCCCGTGTTAGCCCTTTCCTGATACTCTAGGGAAGCCTCTATCCTAATGGGTCAGGCCTGAGGCCAGGACAAGAATTGAGGCCAAATGGCATATTGTTTGGTTGGTGTTTTTTTGTCTGGGGGCCACACCTGGCTGTGCTCAGGGCTCACTACTTACTGGTGGGGTTCAAGGTACCATTCGGGATGCTGGGGATCGATCAAACTCAGGTCAGCCACGTGGATGGCAAGTACCCTCCCTGCTGGACTATCACTCCGGTCCCTAAATGGCTGACCCAGGCATTGGTCAGCCCAGCATGAGTTCTAGAACTGCCTGTGACACCAGCCAAATCTCCTGGGAAGGAAAACTGATTCCGACAACTGACTCTGCCTCAGGCGGGCCAGAGGTCTCAAAGGGGAGCTGGCAGAAGGAATGTGCTTGGGAGAAAGATCAGGCCTGGCCGATCCACCCAAGTCCCTTCCCTGTGGTCGCCCAGCCAAGCTGAATGTGTGCCTGCTGCATTCCTAGGGATCTGCTGGAGCAGAGAACCTCCGGAATCATGACCAGATCTCTGGTCACCACAGGCGTTGACCTTGATGCTGGAAGCAACCAGGGTGGAAGTCAGAAAGACACAGATTGATGGGGGCGGGGGAGGAGCTCTGATTGGTGGAGAGGAGATGAAGAGGCTCCCAGGGGAGTAGGGGAAAGAGGCGGTACAGGCTCAGGACCCAGGAGACCAACTGCTGGTTTCCAGAAAATATCTGAGGAAAGGGGCTGGAGAGATAGCACAATAGGTAGGCTATTTGCCTTGCAGTATGCAGCTAACCTAGGTTTCGGCAACCCACAGGGTCTCCAGAGTCACACCAGGAGTGAACCCTGAGCACAGAGCCAACAGTAAGCCCTGAGCATCAATGGGTGTGGCCCCAGAAACAAAAAATTAAAAAGAGATAGAGAAACTGCATCTTCAACAAAACACAGTGCCTGTGCTCCCAGGAAATAAATATACCAGGAAATAAATATACCATCTTTAAAAATTATTCATGTTTGGGGGGCTGGAGCAATAGTATAGCAGGTAAGGCATTTGTCCTGCATGCAGCTGACCCAGGTTTGATCCTCAGCATCCCATATGGTCCCCCGAGCACCACCAAGAGTGATTTTTGATTCCAAGCATGCCCTTGGGCATCACTGGGTATGCCTCCATCCCCCAAATTATTCATGTTTTACCTGATTGCTTTTTTTTTCTCTTTTAGGATGAAGCTTATAATAGAAAAAAATTTAGAACCAGATGTTTCTTTACAATGGAACAGAATGTTAGCAGATGTAAAGCTAATCTCACACATTCCGTCTTCTTCCTTTATTCACACATTGTTCACTTCACCGGAATTTATTTCCACATCTACATCCGAGACAGAAGCCGTGTGAAAAAAATACAAATAATTTCAAATGTCAGCTTCAAAACCAGCCTGTAGAATTCTCACTAAATGCGGTCACAGTTTAGGTAACTCTGCCCTTCTAAGCAGATAATAAAGGAAACAACTTTTCTACACAAGAATAAATTAGCCACTCCTCAAGCCTCTTTCAAATCAGTAAAATGTTGACATGTCTTTATCTTATTTTTTGTCTTTATCTTATATTTCTCCCAACAGGAGCTAAAATTTCAGCTTATGGGTTTGGGACTCGGGCTGGTGCCTGACAAAGGGCCTTTCAGTCATGGGGCAGGAATGTCTCATATCTGAGAGAAGACAGAAGCAAAAGTCTCCTTGGTGGGCGGCCCAGAGAGCACCATGGGCTGAGCACATACTTTTTGTGCAGAGGTAAGAGTTCAATGCCAGCACCACAAGGACCTTGGAGCACCCCTGCATGTGGCATCCCTCCCCTCAAAAAATAGTCTCCTTGGACATTAGCTTTCTAGACTCTAAAAACGGGAGTCTACATTCTCATATGGATATAAATCACTGCTACTAAAAAACAAATGTTTATCTGCATTTACCACACACACGTACTATTGTCCCCATTTTACAGATGGAAAAAAAAACAGGGGCAGTGCAGGGGTTAAGGTATACTTGTCTTACATGTGGTTGATGTGGTTGAATCCTCAGCATGGTATATAGTCCCCCTGAGTCCCTCCAGGAGTGACCCCTGAATACAGAGCCCGGAGCAGCCCTCAATGGCCCAAACCTTCACATCCGTCCCACCCCAAACGGTAGAGAAAGCAAAGTCAAATTCAGCAATTGGCCCATATCTATACACTTCTAAGGTTGGAATCGCTAGGTCTGACAGGTGACCCTTCCTCTTCCCCCACCCAGTGGCAATTTAGAGCCCACTGGGAGACAAAGATACATCTGCTCCAGTTCTGAGAGTTTAAGGAAGGGATAGAGAATCCAAACCCACCCCACTCCCACCCCAGGCCAAGAGCAGTTGTTGGGAACCCCGCAGCCAAGGCAAAAAGGGCCTGGCCTGTGGTGCAAAGAGCTGGGTCAGGCTGTGCCCGCTGAGAAACCAGGTTTGTCTCTTGCTGCACGGCGCTGCCACCTGCTGGCTGAAGGTGACCATTGCAGGTCAGGTAATCCCATTTGTCCATTTCCTTCACCAAATGTCAAGAGGTCCTCCGTGGTAGCAGTCGGACAGACCATGAGAAAGACAATCCATGACAAAGCTGCTTTGGGGAGAGAGGGAGATAGGAGAGGAAAGGTGAGTCTGGATTGACAGGAAGAGAGGTGAGTGGAGGAAATATGCAGGAGGGAGGCGGGGGCAGACAGCAGGTGCTCTGAGAGGACAATGGGAACTCAAAGAAGTGAGTCATTTAGGCTCTAGCTTCTAGTTTTGACCTTTTGGAGAATAAAATGGGATCGTTTGAATGAGGGTAGATCATTTGAAAATTCAGCGTCTGAGCTAGACTGGCTGCGGGGATGGAGAAAAATGAATGCTCCGTGAGAAGTATTTAGAAAGTAGAGTGATTTAGGCTGGAGAAAACCAAATCTAAAAGGGTACTAGGGAGCCCAGAGATGGAGCAGATGTCAGAACACCAGACTTGCTAGGACCCCGTTTGATCCCCAGCACTGCATGGCCCCTCTGCATCAGAACAGTGCCCTGGAGATCCCAAAGCACTGACAGGTGTGTAGCCTGGATGTCCCCAACACTGCAGGGCTAGAGCCGTACCCTTGGGGCCTGGCACTGCTCAGCTGGCTGAGAATCCCTGGGAGTGGTCCCTGGAGCACCCTTTGGGAGAGTCTCCATATTAAAGGAAATCAGGAGGGGCTGGAGCAATAGCACAGCGGGTAGGGCGTTTGCCTTGCACACGGGCGACCTGGGTTCGATTCCCAGCATCCCATATGGTTCCGTCCCCCTCCCCAAAGCACTGCCAGGAGTAATTACTGAGTGCATGAACCAGCAGTAACCCCTGTGCATCGCAGAGTATGACCCAAAAAGCAAAAATAAATTAAGAAAATGTAAAAATAAAGGAAATCAGGTAATGCAGTGGCTCCATTGTACTCCTTCCTTCTTTGAACAATGCACAGCACCGATAATGTGCCAGGAAACCACCTATCTACGTGCTGTGCTTACAGGCAGGTCATTACAGCAGGGAAAAGCCCTGCTTGCTCCAGAGCTTCTATTCCAAAGGGAAGGAAGCAGGGTGAAGGGGAAAAATAATGAAACCATGAGACAGGACCAAAGGGTGTCCTTCCGATAGGAATGATAAGGAGATGCATGCAAAGGTGACAGGAAGGGCCAGAGACGGCCTCTGGAGCACATGCTTCATGTGCATACCCAGAGCCAGAGCCTCTGACCACCACCAGGAATGATCCCTGGGCACTAAGTCTGATCCCCGTAGCCCCTGAGCATGGCTGAGTGTGGACCAACCCCTGACCCCGCCCCCCCCCCCACACACATCCCCCATGTAATAAAAGTGGCAGGGAGTAGCCCTATACAGCGAGCCTGGCTCCCTCCCTCTGTGAAGATGTCGGCAAGGCAGCAATGAGGAAGCCACTGACACGATTGAAGTGGAGGGTGAGAGAATCTAATTTTGTTTCCAGTCTCCAGCTCTTCTCTGGGCAATAGTTTGGAACAAGATGGCAACAGGGCTGGGATGCGGAGCCAGAGAGATGAGGGCAATAGTGGGGAGGGGAGCGGGCTGGGGGTGGGTGGGAGAGCAGTGCTACAGAGCAAAGGGTTTGCTGGCAAGTATGCTGGGGAGTTTTTAAAAAGAAAGTGAAGTAGGGTTGGAGTGATAGCACAGTGGGTAGGGCGTTTGCCTTGCACGTGGCCAACCCAGGTTCGATTCCCAGCATCCCACAGGGTCCCCTGAGCACTGCCAGGAGTAATTCCTGAGTGCATGAGCCAGGAGTAACCCCTGTGCATCACTGGGTGTGATCCAAAAAGAAAAAAAAAAAACACTTTAAGTAGGAAGATTTCCCCCCCACCTCCACCTGCCTAAGGATGGTGGTGCTGGCAGGGAACCTAGAGAGGCAAGAAGACGAACAAAACACACCCCAGCCCCAAAAGCCTACCCGTGAGGCTGCCAAGTTGGGGAAGCAGCAGTCACGCTGGGGTACCATCTGGGACAGGCCTGGTGCTTGCACCCACAGCAGGGTGCAAGGTACCCAGGACGCCCCCACACAGATCTGAGCTGAAGAGCCCCTGCGTCACTTCAGGATCCAAGTCTAAGCAGAATCCTCAGTCACACCCTCTGTCCTTAAGCTCAGCAGGAAAGAGAAACGGCCCCTGTGCAGCCCCTAGACTCCCAGGAGAGGCCGGGAGTGGACACACACATGCACCTCCTAGCAGAACAAACAGCAGAGACCGAGGGCTGTGGGTACCACGTCACTTTATTTCTTTGGTTTTCCAGTTCCACTATCACACAATGCCCCTCTCTCCCTTCTGGCCACCAGGAGGTTCTTTGAAGATGGGGCTCAGAGAACCCTTCAGAGGAAAGGGCAGTGGGGGGGATGGGGGAGTGGGCCCTCCAGAGGCAGAAGCATGCAGGGTCCACACAGAGCAGCCAAGCCCAAGCCAAGCAGAGGTGAGAGGCCTTCCCCCCTCCTTACAACCCTCCCCTCACTCTCCCTGTGAGCATCAGCCCAAAGGCTTTGCAAGGACCTGAGATGCCTTAAGTTCCTTTGGAAAACCTGAGTGAGTTGAGTGCCAACACCCCAAAGGAAATGCAGACTGTAGATAGTGCCCTGGGGTGCAACAGTGGGCCCTGCTCTCACTTTTTGTCTCCAGGAAAGAAAGCAGTCTCAGATAACCCACCCTCCTCCAGCCCCCTACACACAGGTCCCTTAAATGGGAAAAGAAAAAAAAACCTAAAGTCAAGACACAAGCATCAAAAGAAAGCAAACGAGGGGCTGGAGCGATAGCACAGCGAGTCGGGTGTTTGCCTTGCACTCGGCCAACCCGGATTCGATTCCCAGCATTCCATATGGTCGCCTGAGAACCGACGGGAGCGATTCCTGAGTGCATGAGCCAGAAGAAACCCCTGTGCATCGCCAGGTGTGACCCAAAAAGGGAAAAAAAAAAAAGCAAGCAAACGATGGAGAGAGCATCACTGGTGTGAGGCTTGGGCGGGAGGGCTGGGCTGCTGGCCCTCAGCTCCTGGGCCAGGGAACAGGACCGATGCAAGTTTGGGTTCGGCACTGCGGGGGCCGAGCCCAGGGCCCCCTGGCCGAGCCAAGCGAGTCGGCAATGCGGGCCCCTGGCCTCTTTGTCCAGGCTCCCCCTGTCCCTCCTGTCCCCGTACCAGCTGCCTGTCAGCTGCTGGTGAGCCATCCACCAGGGTGAGGCCCTCGTAGAGCGCCCGTTTCCACATGTAGTAGGTAGAGCGGGCCGTGAGCGGGAAGAGAGCACTGAACTCCTTGTATGAGGGGAAGCTCTTGGACTCGAAGCGCTTCTGCAGGAACAGCTTGGCCTCAGCCTTGAACCTGGGGCTGGTCAGCATGTCCATCACCAGTCCCTGGCCCTCACCACCCCTTGCTGCGGTTGCGGAGCTGGAAGGAGACCCACTGTGGGGGTGGCCTGGAGCCAGCACCCCATCTTGCACAGGGATCCCCTCTCTGGAAGGCCTTTTCTGAGTCTGCCCAGGATCCTCTCCCGGGGACACCCCCAGACTTGATGTCCCCAGAGGGACGGTCGTGGCTGGGGCCGCGGTTCCACTCCCGATGGCTTCTTTCTCTCTCTTCTCAGCCTCCTGCACCCCTCCTCGGCTGGAGGGGGGAGCCTGCCGCTGCTGGAGTTTCGACCTGGGTCTGGACCAGCCGGGGGGGACGAGACTCCTCCAGAACCAGAAGGAGGACGGGGACAGGCCCGGGTAGCGAAGGCGGAAGCGGCAGAAGGGGAGGTGCCCGCTCAGCACCTGTTTGCGGGCTGCCTTGCGCTGGCGCCGCTGCCAACGGTACAGGGGCATCCTCGGGGCCGGAAGCTGCTGCGGCGCGCGGGGCCCCTCATCCCGCGCTTTCTCCGCCCCTTCTTCCGCCTCACCCTTCCAGAGCTGCTGGGGTTCTTCTCCCACCAAGGCAGGCTGGGGAGTCCGGGTCCCCAAGAGGGCAGGCGGCGGCTTGAAGTCGGGGTTCCTCCGGAGGGCCTTGCGGCGCCAGTTGTAATAGGTGGAGCGGGAGATGCCGGGGAACCTGCACTTGAAGCAGCGGTAGGGCTCCAGCGTGTTCAGGGAGATGCAGTGCTCCAGGTAGAGCTTGGCCCGCTGCATCAGGACCATCCCGGGGGTGGCCAGGGCCTGCGAGGCGGCCCCAGGCGCCCCCACCACAGCAGGCGTGGCAGCAGCGGCGGCAGTGGTGGTGCCCGACTCCTCGGGCAGCTTCTCCAGGGCCTCCCGGGTGAGCGTCTCGGGGGCGGGCAGGGCGGGGCAGGCCCCGGAGCTGCTGCCCAGCAGCTCCTGCTTCCAGGCGTAGTAGGTGGAGCGCGAGATCTCGGGGAAGCGCTGGAGGAACTGCTGCAGAGGCACGAGGCCGGCGCCGCGGCGGAAACTGTCCTGCAGGAAGTGCTTGGCCGAGAAGCGCGCGGCCACACGCTGCCGGTGCTCCTGGGACTGGCGGCGCCAGCGGTAGAAGGTGCTCTTGGTGACACTGGCGCGCTCGCACAGATGCGAGTAGCTGAGGCCGGGCGCGCGGTTCAGCAGCTCCAGGGTCTTGGCGGGCGCCGAGAGCGGGCTGGCGCCTTCCGCCTCCACCTCCTCCAGCCCCACCACGGGGGCGAAGTACTGGTGGCGGAAGAGGTGGCCGCCCACCGGCTGGCCAGCCCACATGATGTGCAGCGTGGCGGGCACGTGGTCGCAGCGGCGCGGCCGGATGACCCGGTTGAAGTAGGGCCGGATCTTGAGGTTGCGCATGGGGTAGATGGAGTAGATGTTACGCTGCAGCACGGACGCCAGCGCGTACAGGTGCCACACGTTGGAGAAGCTGCTGGGGAAGCACGTGGCCTTGACGTCCGCGTCGAAGATGGCCTCGAGCGTGGCCGGGGGCAGGCTGGTCATCTCCGGGGACTCCTCGGAGCACAGCGAGTAGCGCACGGCCTGCAGCATCACCTTGGAGTCGATCATGCCCTGCAGGTAGTAGTGACGGTGCAGCAGCATCTCCACCACGGTGCGCGCGCGCAGCTCCAGACTCAGCCCCGCGTCGCCCCACAGCAGCAGGCTGGCCGCCTCGAACAGCAGGCTGCCCTGGCCCTGGCACACCAGCGGCAGCATGTTCCGCGGCGCGTCGTTGGGGTAGAGGCTTAGGGCCACCGAGTCCACCTCCAGCCTCTGCGGGCAGGCGCCCCCCTCCCGCGAGGTGGGGAGGGCAAAGGTCGAGAGGACCTGCTTGGCCTCCAGGGCAGCCCCCACCAGCCCCTCCAGGCCCTGGGACTCCACGGCCTCTTGCAGCTCCTGAAGGACTTGCTGCACCAGCTGCTCCTGGGATGTCATCCTGTGGGCAGAGGGAAGAGGGCAGAAGGCAGAGAGGTCAGGCCCAGGGAGGTCCCCAAGTGATGCCCAGCAATGGTACCTGGTCCACCCCCACTACCTTCCACCTTCCTCCATTCCTGAATACATAAGGGCTGTAGCCTCCTACCAGATCATGGCTACTTGCTCCATGGGCAATACCAAATCAGGTTCTGAAACCTGACCTTGAAGACTGGCTGGTACCAGGCACTTAACCTGTATGAAAGGGAGAGAAAGCCCAACCGGTTGGAGTGTATGCTTCGCGTGCAGGAGGCCTAGGTTCGAACCCTAGCACTGTATGTTCTCCTGAGCATTGAGCAAGGGGTAGTCCCTGAGCACCACTGGGTGTGGAGGCCCCCTCTAAAAGAAAGGAGAGGGGCTGGAGCAATAGCACAGCGGGTAGGGCATTTGCCTTGCACACAGCCGACCAGGGTTCGATTCCCAGCATTCCATATGGTCCCCTGAGCACCGCCAGGAGTAACCCCTGTGCATTGCCGGGTGTGACCCAAAAAGCAATAAATAAATCAATTAATTAAAATAAAAGAAAGGAGAAGTTGGGGCTGGAAAGACTGTGCAGGGGCTACAGCATTTTCCTTGCACACAGCCAAACCTAGTTCTAATCCCAGCATCCCAAATGGTCCCTCAAGCATAGGCAAGAGTGGTACCTGAGTGCAGAGCCAGGAGTAACCCCTGAGCATCACCAGATATGATCCAAGAAAAACAATTAAAGGAAAGATAGTACAGTGGGTAAGGCCTTGAGACTTTAGCAGGGGGTCTACAGATTAAAGTATGTCCATAACACTAATGATTTGCCTTTTTCATTATATTAACATTTGAGTAAACTGTAATGTACCACAGTACCTTAGCATGTATCAAACTCCCCAAAGTTAAGAATGTTCTATAAGATACTCAGTTTATCTAATAAAAGAGTTATTTTTTTTTAAGTGAGCCATCAGGGATATGAATGCCTTATATGTGTGAGGCCCGAAGTTCAATCCCTTGCATGAAAGAGAGAAGTAGGGCCAGAGAGATAGTACAAGGAGTAAGGTGCTTGCCGTGCACACGACAACCCAGGTTTGCTCCCCAGCATCCTATATGATCCCTGGAGCATGCCAGGAGTGGCCTCCCGTGATCCCCTAAGCATTGCTAAGAGTAATTCCCAAAAAGAAACAACCCCCCAAAAAAAGAAAAATAGGGGGCTAGAGAGATTATACAGTGGGTTAAGGGCACTTGCCTTGCATACGGTCACCCCAGGTTCGATCCCAGCATCTCATGTGGTCCCAAAACACCATGAGGAATAATTCTGAGTGCAAAGCGAAGAGAAACCCAAGCCTCACTGGGTATGGTCCAAAAACTCTGTGTGTGTGTTAGAGAGAAGAGAGAGAGGGGTGGGGAGGAGGAGAGAGAGAGAGAGAGAGAGAGAGAGAGAGAGAGAGAGAGAGAGAGAGAGAGAAGAGAGAGAGGAGAGAGAATAAAAGAATAAAAGGGGAGCCAGAGACATAGTACAGTACAGTGGGTAAGACATTTGCCTTGCATGAAGCAAACCCAGGTTGGATCCCTGGCACCCCATAGGGTCTCCCTGAGCACAGAGCCAGGAGTAAGCAATAAGCACCAGCAGGTATGACCCAAAACACACGCACATACAAGGCAGACTGAGATATTGCTTATTTAAAGTGGGGTTGATTTGGCAGGCATTTTCTCAAAAATAATGAATTAAGGTAAGTAAGCCTGTTACTTCAAGGAAAACTGCTATCTGTGAAACATTTTTAAGTTTCCATTTGAAATTAAAATTTTGGTGTCCAATATAGTAAGCTGAGTTTGATGGGCTCCGAGGTGGCACTAACAAGTAACTTTTTATACCGTAGAATAGAATTGTCAGCACTTGGAGATCTGTACTCCAATTGATCTCAAATTGAAACGCTCCCAGTGGGACATGCTACAAAGCCAGGCACCATTCCAAGGAGAAAAAAAGAACAAAGGGTTTTTAACATAACAAGGTAGGGAAGCACTTAGGTTCCACTAAGCTTGAGAAATAATTCCAGGAGCCAGAGAGATAGTACAGCAGGTAAGGCACGGGTTCAATCCCCAGCATCTCACATCCCACATGGGCACCGAGCACCACCAGGAGTGATTCCAGAGTATAGAGCCAGGAAGAAGCCCTGAGCATGGCTATGGCTGAGTATGAATGACCCCAAAACAAAACAGGAGAAATCTTTGTACTTGAAATAGTTACCAAATATCTGCCAATGGCGAAGCCAGCAATGCACTTCATTTTCCCATCCCCATAACTAGATGAATACTTCCTCTGCAGGATCACAACAGACTGAACAGAGCAGCTAGGAAAATCAACTGTGAAACTAGCTGCTACAGAGATTTTTTAAAAAATTAAAGAACAACAACAACAAAAAAAGTTAAAGAGCACATTTGGATTAGGGGCCACAGCTGTTGGTGCTCAGGTCATTCCTGGCACTGTTTCATGAATCATTTGCTTCAGGCCTCTGAATTTATCTCCTCAGTCCTCAAAAATGTTATTTTTCACAAATGTGTTATGTGTTAAGAGTATCACAGGTTTTTACTTTTGTTTTGGGGGCACAGCCAACAGTGCTCAGGGACACACCCAGTCCTGTGATTGGAGGTTGCTCCCGGCAGTGATGAGGGGCTTAGAGGGCTGTGATCAGTCCACTACTATCTTGCAGGTTTCACAGGTTGACTTCATTTGATTTTTGGTTTGGGGGCCACACCCAGCTGTGCTCAGGGGTTACTTCTGGCGATGCTGGGGGGCCATATGGGATGCTGAGGATGGAACTCAGGTCAGCCATGTTCAAGGCAAATGCTCTGCTTGCTGTATTAGCACTCCAACCCCTCAACTAGGCCTACTTTTAAATAAATTATTTTCCAAATGTCTTTTAATTTCTAATACAATATACATCAGAAGACATATCCTGGGGAGAATAAAAGGCTCTCCAGAGCCCCCGATGGGGGTAGGGGGGAGGCAGGGATTGGAGATGGAAACCAGCAACCCAGCAGCTCTCGTGCAAGGCAGCTACCCTAGCGCTGAACTACCTGGGGGCTGAGTTCTCAACGTAGAGAGTACACAGGTGTCTGAGAACAGCTTTTCAAAGAAATCAGTGGAGGGCCGGAACAATAGTACAGCGGTAGGGTGTTTGCCTTGCGCAGGGCTGGCCTAGGGAGTTGGGTTCAATCTGTGGCATTCCACATGACCCAGAGCACCACCAGGAATAATTCTTGAGTGCAGAGTCAGGAGTAACCCCTGAGCATCACTAGGTGTGACAAGAAAGAGAAAGAAGAAAGGAATAAAAAGAAAGGAAGAGAGAGAGAAAGAGAAAGAGACAGAGAGAGAGAGAGAGAGAGAGAGAGAGAGAGAGAGAGAGAGAGAGAAGAAAGAAAAGAAAGAAAAGGAAAAGGCAGCCTGGCCACCAAAGATCAAATAACCAAGATTTACTGAGCATTCAGCGTTTCCCCTGCCATTCCCCTGGTTCCTGACTTCCAGGTGCAGAAACTGAGGCTGTCAAATCTAGGCTAAATTTGATAAAGGTGACCCAAGTTAGCTGCACAGCCAACAGATGGAACCAGATGCTTATTAGGGCCTGAGGTTAACTCCACCTTTGCGGCCACCTTTCCAACCCAAACTCCTCACCCTCATGAGTGGGCAAGTGGGCTGCTTCGTGGGGTTCTGTGCCTTCAGAGACACTCTCAAAATCACCACCAAGCCTGCTTTTCCTTTGTCTCTCCTCAGAACTCTGTCTCCCGTTTTGATAAATTGCTTTAAAGGAGCCTTAGGGTGCAAATTGCACCTCAGTGTATGGACTTGCCAGCTTATCAAACTCCACACTGAAAAGACACGTATTTTGCTCTCGCTAAAAAAGGTGTCTGAGAGGAAATTATGGCTCATTAAAGTTTTTTTTAAAAAAGCACTTTTAAAGTGCCCAAGGAATACTACCACCAATTCAGATGATAATCATAAAAAAAAAAGCTTTTAAAAAATATGGGAACCACGATCATCTCTGCACAGAAATTTTTTTCAGTTGTAAATTTAAATGCATGTTGTGACAAATCTAGTACAATTTCTCACCAAAATTCTATTGTACCAGATGTTTTGATGGATTTTTTGCGGGGGGGGGCTTTTAATCGGTTATCCTGTGGGGACTTGATATTCACCTTCTTTGAGACTACTAGTTTTCTTTGAACTCAGGAGATAAAACTCCACATTGGTCCTTAGGAAATTACGTACTTCCCTATGCCAGAGTCCAGAGCCTGGAAAACCTGCGAATGAATACCCAAGCCCTTTTTCCTTCTTGCATTTTTCCCCTTGTTGGACGCCGCATCTAAGTGGGGGCACTGCCCAGCACCCTGCAAAGGAAAGGACGCGAAATCCCCTCTTACTGACCACTTCCGGAATGTGTGTTTGACTTAGGCAATTCAACCCAGATGGCAGAAAAATAACGGGGGACAATTAACTTCAGAAGTGTGGGTGGTTCTCCTTTCACCCAGCCTATCACCCCCACACCCCATCCCAGCATGATGTTCTTTCTCTCCGGTGACTGTAAGAGTCTGTGGGCTTTGCCTGGGGGAGCATTAAGACATCAAGCTTTTCAAGGTGATTGTGTGTGGGGGGGGTGGGGGCTCGCTTTCCCTCCACGTGAGCAGCTCCATCCCACCCACCCCCACCATCGTGAGTAAAAATCCTTTTCCCTGGACATGCAGTTCTCAAAGCTGAGAAACCTCAGCAGAGTCGCGAACCTCAGGGCTGGCATTTCACTGCTCAGGGAACTAGATCTAGTGCTCATCCACCAACACGAATTCGAGGCTTGAGACCAAACTGGCCACGTAATAGGGAAGGAAATGGAAGGTGCAGAAAGGTAAAGGAGACGTGCCTGAATGTGTGCAGCAGGACCTAGGTACCCAGGTACCTTCCAAAAGGTCCAGATACCCGCACTTCCTCCCCCTGCACAAACCCTCCCCCC